ACACACACACACACACACACACACACACACACACACACACACACACAGAGAGAAAGGAGGGTTAGTGGAAGGGTTACGAGGCTCCTCCGGACCAGACACCACTAGGAGTTTTACATATATCGTGCTTTTATTTTTCTTCCAGTCCTTCGCCATACATGTTATAAAGCCCTATTAGCCAGGTCCTGGTTCCCAAGCCCATGCACGGCAGCAATGGGGCTCAATCCAGCCCTCTCACCAGGACCTGCCCTCTCCTGCTCCTTCAGCAGCCTTGTGTTTTTTACCGATATCTTGAGGCTCTTTGCCTCTTGTGGACGTGTATGCTGCCCTTATTTATGCAGCCACTGCCTGACATAAAAAGCACTGGTGCCAGCTCACCCTGGAGCTGATATGTCGGCAAGTATAAAAGCAGTTGGCTTGGGCTACCCTGGTGGCGCAGTGGTTGAGAGTCCGCCTGCCGATGCAGGGGACACGGGTTCGTGCCCCGGTCCGGGAAGATCCCACATGCCACGCAGCGGCGCGTCCGGAGCCTGTGCTCCACAATGGGAGAGGCCACAGCAGTGAGAGGCCCGCGTACCGCAAAAAAAAAAAAAAAAGCAGTTGGCTTTACCCAGACACAGATTCCCTCATGGGGCAAAGACCAGAATGGAGGGGTCCATCGCGTCCCTGCTGGGGCACACCGCAGACTGCAACAAGGCCCCGGCTCTGACGGCTCAGCGTGCATGTGTCGGCGCACGCAGGCTCTCTGCAGGCCCACCGCGGCTGCTCTGTCCGCTGCTGTTCCCATGCCTCTCCCAGACCTGTCCCTCGGGTCCAGCCAAATAGAAGTATTTCTTGTTTTCCATGGGAGTTTCCCATTGCCTTTGCTTCTCCTGTTTCATGTGCATGAAGTGGCAACAGAGAGAGACAGAGAGACAAAGAGAGCCTTCTTTCCATACCTGCCCACCCTCCAAGGCCTCCAGAGGCAGCTCCACAGCAGGTGTTCCCTGACACTCACGCAGCCAGTAAGAATGACCGCTCCCTCTGACCGCCCACTCTCTGACCTCTACCAAGTGACCTCTCACCTGCACTGATTTACAAACTGTGCGACAGAATCCCTCACATGAGTTGAAGGTATGATAAGCCGATTTAAATCACAGCCTTCTACTAAGAGAATAGTTTTGTAGCTCCTGGACCTGAGGGCTGGACCTCTGCCATCACACACTCCTGAACCTCTGCTATCATGCACTCCATGGATTTCCAACGTGAACACATTTGCTGAGCCAATGTTTATTGAGCTGCAGCTATACTGCAGGCGCTCGACATACATGAACCAGGAGGAAAAGATAAACTGCATGCGAGCCTTCCTCTGAAGAAGACAAATACCCCAATAACAACAACAGCACAGAAACCCACAGGAGATTCTGAGAACTGGGAGACTGAGTGGCCATGAAAGTGTACACTGCCCGGCCTCCCTGAACATCAGGAAAAGTGAATGGAAACGACAGCGGGACAGCAATTCACATCCATCCACTCGGCCAGCATGAAAAGGCGTGACGGTCCCGAAAGGTGATCACGAAGTGGAGAAAGGGGCAACCTCAGACAGCGGGAGTGGATGGTGGAACCCCCGGCAGGAGCTGCCTGCATCGTGCTGGACGTTCCGCTCCTGTGTTTGAGCCACACTCCTGCACGGCAGCCCAAGGAGATGCATCCGAGGCTACTCCCTGCAGCTCTGCTCATAGGAAAGCTGGGCCCAGCCTCCAGAGAAGCCCTTCCCCTGTGGGGCGCACTTGTACAGAAGGAATGAAGTGCAGCACGATGTCCTGTAACAGAGAGATATCGTGAATCTTGTGGGAGACAGAGCACAGCTGATAACTGGGTGAGAAAGGGCAGAGGGTGTTTCGAGGAGAAAAGGAAAGAAGAGTGTCCCAGCATGGCCAACATGTGGTGGAGGAAAGAGTACGTGTGGATGGAGGTTGAGGTACTGGGATATGCGGGGGATTGGGGAGGTCAGACAGGGGGTCGTGTCAGGAACACATGGAAGCTTGAGCTCCCACGGAAGAGTTCCAACCTTCCCTGTAGCCTCCATACGTACAATCCCCACACCGTTGTTTAAGAGAAACAGTGCTGGGGGTGGTGTGGATGGAGCCAGCCCGGGTGGTGGATGTGGGCACTGGTCCCAGACCGGTGGAAGTGAGAATGGAGCGCAGAAACAGCCGGATTTTTTGGAAGAGCAATGGGCAGCACTTGGACCTCTTTCTGCGGTAAGTGAACTGTCTGCGATGACTGCCCTAGTGTCTCTGAAGAAAATCACAAAAGTGGAGCGTTACGCCAGATTGGAAGACTCCAGAAAGACGAAACCAGCAACGCATGAATGTTGATTAGACACCGCTTCAGGGGAGAAAAGAAAACCGTAACAGACATGCTGGAGCTATTGGGGAAATTTGAATACGGCAGCATAGTAGATAATATTAGGAAATTACTGTGTATTTTTTATGTATGATAATGTCATTTTGGTTAGGTAAAAGGATGTCTTCATCCTCAGGAGATGTGTGTTGTAATATATAGGTTACGAGCTGTGTAGTTTCAAGTTTCAAGGGGTTCAGAAAAAGGAGAATGAAAGAAAAAAAAAAGAAATACCCACTTAAAATGTTCAGGATTGAATATATGATTTGAAAATATATCAAATTACTTTACTACTTGATTTCGTTTTGTAAGCTTTTAAGTTCTGTACTCTTTTGAATCAAAATGAGAGATAAGTGTTTTAGTTTCAGAAACAGAGAAAAAAATACAGACAGAGCAAATGTAGCAAAACGTTCTATTAAGGATTTTGCGGGGGAGGGATGGTATGTGGTGCCTTTTGTACTATTTTTTCAAGTTTTCTGTATGTTGGCAGTTCCTCCTAACAAAAACATGGAGGAAAAATGACTGAATACAGTATTCTGCAGATAAGGATGTGAAATTAAATAGATGTTGGTCATTTGCCCTCCTGTGCTGGACTTGGGTCGCTGAAATTCGTTTGTTACTAGTTTCCTCCATGAGTAATTTTCAAAGGTCATCTGGAATTTGGGAATTGTAGCAAACGGGATGAAGGTGAGGAAGGAAGGCGGCTGAGCTGGCCGAGTGGGAGCCCGGACGTCACGGGGCCTGTCGCCACCTGCTTGGACGCCAGCACACAAGCTGTTAGTGTTGACATTTCAATGGCGTTCCCACCTCTAAACCCGTCTTGTTTTTGAAACTTTGGAACCTGAAAGAGTTCATTCTTATATGGGTTTTTCTGAGTCTGCTCAGACTACCCGGGTCCCCAATCTTCTCCCACAAACGGAGCCAGGCCTGGAGGCAATCAGACATCAGACGCAAGCTTTCCTCTTCGTCTTAAGTGACAGCCACGGCTAATGCCAGAGTGGGAGGAAAGCCGCGTTCCAGGCCACTGGCTGCCAGCGACTTGAGAAAACGCTTCTGCCTGACATAGCCTTGAAAAAAAATAATGGAAATGTCCTGGTGTTTAAAGAACCAAGAAGGATGGTAGCAGTGGGCTGCTTTTTGCTTCAAAATGATTCGGCGTTGGGGCTTCCCTGGTGGCGCAGTGGTTGAGAGTCCGCCTGCCGATGCAGGGGACGCGGGTTCGTGCCCCGGTCCGGGAGGATCCCACATGCCACGGAGCGGCTGGGCCCGTGAGCCATGGCCGCTGAGCCTGCGCGTCCGGAGCCTGTGCTCCGCAACGGGAGAGGCCACAGCAGTGAGAGGCCCGCGTACCGCGAAAAAAAAAAGATTCTGCGTTGCTTTTCTTGGATGAGTGACTTTCTTAAAAGCCGGATTCCCTCTCAGATGCAGGCCTTTGACACAGAGCCCAGGGGACTCCAGCAACCAGCCACGTGGGGCTCACTGCTGCCAGCCTGGGATCTGAGGCTCCAACCCCACGTGGGCAGAGTGATGGCCAGAGCACAGGACCTGGCACAGAGGAAAGCCCAGACACCTTTCAGCGCTGGGCAAAGCCCTCACAGGGATGAATCAATGGCCCTGTGACCTGGCCTGGGGCTCACAAACTCAGGCATCCAGAGGCAGTCTGACCACGAGGGCCTGGTCTCCCCTTCAAGTTCTCAACGTGGACTCCATTGAGCCAGAACTTCCCTGTTGCAAAAGAAGCCAAGAATCCCGGTTTCTGTGTAAAGCCACCTGAGCTTGAAAGGTTGGCAATGAAATCAATTTAAAACAGTGTGACACCACCACGTGGGTCAAACGAACCATGCACACAACTGGGTGCAGCCCAGGGTCACCCATCTGCTCCCTCTGCAGCTGGTGACTGCAGCCCAAATCCCGTTTCTGCCACTTGCAGCCTGATTTTTCCCCTGAGAAAACAGCTCCAATGCTGCCCCCCCAAGGGGCCACTGGGAGGACCGAGGGGATTCTGGAGAGCGCGGGGCCAGGTCTGGGCACCACCGCCGTCTCCCTCCCTCCCTGTGTCCTGCCCATCTCGGCCCTGAGCCTTTCCCCTGGGGCCTCACACTCCGCTCAGAGTCTCCCCAGGCTCCAGTCCACGTCTCCTCAGACATAACCTGGCCAGCCTCCTGCAAACCACCTTCCACCTTCCACAAAGGTTTTCAGCTCCCTGGTCAAGGGGCTGCCAGCGTTTCCCGGTGGGCTCATGAATGGTGGTGCCCTTGAGCTCCACTGTGCCCCAAACACCACCCCCAGCACTGTCCTGGACCTCAGCCCTCCCCTCCACCCACTTTGCACAGACACTTGAGGCCTAAGGCCTGTCCTCCCCGGTAACCATCAGGTGACTGGAGAGCCCAAGCCTGGGCTTCAGAAGCTCTGAGACAGCACCTTCCTCTCCTTCCTCAGAGGCCACCGAGACCTGGGCCCACCTGGGGGCTGTGGACAGGCCATGCCCCGTGCACTTGAAGTTCAATTTCAGAAACGTACACACGCTGGCCGCCAAAGCAGAGCAGGTTCACTGTGGGGATTAGGCTGAGCTCTGGCCTCATGTTCTGACCCTGCCACTTGTCAGATGACCGTCTGGTCACCCCTCTCCACCTCCCTAGGGGCCACTCTCTCCTCGTGGCACACACAAAGAAGTGGGTCGTAAGAGCATTGTCACCCAAGAGTACGTGGGGACCAAATGGTCGTTAACAGGAAGCAGCTGCACAGAGAGGACACAGGGTCCACAACTCCAACGTGGACCATCCCCGAAGCCTGTCAAGGGTCAGAGAGGGTCTCAGCTGGAAAATCATTCTACCTGAACATGAACTTCTCCACAGACTATTAGCT